AACTTTATTTAATATGTGACAAGCTGTTAACAAAGCTTCTCCCCAAAAACCTTTCCAAACTTGAATATGATAACATAGCATTTACCATTTCAATCAAGACCCTATTCTTCCTTTCTGCTACACCATTATGCTGTGTGTTTAGGTGCTGAATATATGGATTATTCCAATAGATCCAAAATAACTTGGACTATAATATCTCCACCTCTATCTGATCTTAAACATTTGATAAAAGATTCACATTGTAATTCAACTTCTAATTTATAAACCTTAAATATCAAGCACTTCATCTTTAGAATGCAATAAATATACATAGCAATATCTAGAAAATCATCAATGAATGTGACAAAATATTCTTTCCAGCGTAGTGTACTATGCATATCGACACATCACTATGTATAATTCAAATATTTAGTATTTCTTTAACTTTAGGAAAAGGATTTCTAGTTATTGTTAGCATGCATGTATTGCATTTATCAATATTTAGATTAAATTTTGGAATCAAGTCCATTTATACATACATTCAATCTTCTATAATTTTAAATGTCCTAACTAATCCACAATAAGAGACTCATATAGCAGAAACAACTATTTGTTTTATTATTAAAATATTTAATTGATATTCACACACCATGTAACCTTTTCCAACAATGTACCCCCCTTGGACAGAATGAATTGCTCCAATACAAGTTTGAACCCAAACTATTAATAGACATACACTAAATTTTCTAACTTCTGGAACATAGTAAACATTCTTTCAAGTTAGATTTTCCCAGAAAGTAAACTCAAGTTCAACAGTCCCTTTGCCTTTAAGGTTGCTGTGGAAGAATTTCCCATGTAAGGAAATTTCCATAGTCACTTGGAGTGAAATTCTTGAACAAATTCTTGTCATTGCACACATGTTGGTTGCTCCTGAATCAATCCACCACATCATTTTCTTCAACCATATTGATTCTTGAAATCATGGCTACAAAGTTTTCAGAAGCAACACCATTTGAAAAAGTAATTTTCTTCTTCAATAATCGACATTCCCTTTGAAATGTCCTGGTTCCACAATGGAAGCATTGCTTTTTTCTTTCTTTTGAATTTCAGACCATTAGCTCTTGGTTGAACTTCTTTTGGCAGTGTTTAGTGGTCGTCCTTCTCCACCATGTACTTGGCTTCACCAGAAACAGCGACTTGCTCTTGTTTCCTATATTCCCTTCAATTCGAAGATGATTTGCCAAAGCCTCAAGAGTTATTCTTCCTTTTTTGTTTTGTTTCAGACTTCTTTTAAAGTCTTTCCATGATGGAGTAGGAAGTTGTCTATAATGGAGGATACAACTATAGTTTCATCCATGTTCATTTTAATATTGTAAACTGATTAAGCATTCTTCAATCTTCCTTAATTGTCTATAACAGAACCGCCCATCTACCATTGATAATTAAAAAGCGAAACTAACCCCAAAAAGGCGACCGCAGAACGGCGCAGAAATGCGAACAGCCAGGGAGCGCGAGAGACCTCCAGCGCGGGGACACGACGACCCAGTCACACAAGCAAAAGAACCGATCACAGACGCACCTCCGCGTCAACCCTACAAGGCCATAGGACCGACGCACACGAATCTATCAGACTATGAGACACAGCAGGCCCCCGACACGTCCCTACCCAGCCTCCACGTTAACTAGGAGGAGGGACGGAAATGGATGAAACTATACTTGTCATCCTCCATCTATAGGACATCAAGCTTCCCTCCATCATGGAAAGACTTTACAAAGAAACGTCTGAAACACAAAAAGGAAGAAATAACTCTTGAGGCGTGTTGCCACAATCATCCTTTCCCCAACTTGGAAGAGGAATATAGCGAAACCAAGAGCAAAGGGCCGTGGGTTGTTGGTGAAAAGCCCAAGATAACAGGGGTGGAGGAAGGAACCAGGACCCACGAAAGTCAGCGAATGAGTGAAAAAACAGCCAAACACGGAAGACGAGCGATGAAGGAGACGGGTCCTGGGCCTACTCGAGGGGAGCAGGGCCCAGAACGAAGAGAGCCAGTCAAGGCGGCGGACACCAAACAAGGGGGCGCGGAAAGAGGCGGGGGAACCAGAGAGGGTACGAGCCGTGAAACCAAGACGAGAGGGGGGGGGGGAACAGGGGGCGTGGGCACAGCCACGGCAGGCGGCCCGTGTTAGTGGTGTGCGCAAGAGGTGGACTGGAGAGGGCCCACAACAGGGAATCGACTCAGGTAAGCCGGATCGTGTACCCGCTGGCCCACCGGTGTGACCCCGCGTAGTGGGTCCTAGTTCTTGGGGGGGGTGCGGGCGTGTGGTCGCCGAGTACGGAGCCGTGGGCTGTCCCGGAAGAGAAGGTATCAGTTCTGGGGGTGTGCGCCTTTTTGTTGGTTCACGACTTCTTTTAAACGTCGTCTCTCCATGATGTGGAGGAGTTTTGGGGTGTGTCGGTAATCTGGCAGATACACACTATAGTTTCACTCATTCTATTTTATATTGCTTTAAACTGATTACAGCATTCTTTCAATTTCCTGTAATTGTCTATATAATCATGAACGCCCATCTACCATTGATTAATTAATAAAAGCGCACTAACCAAGGAAATTTCTTATCTTGTTGCATCTTTCTGTTATGTACCTGGCTTCCAGTGTTGTGTCCCATAATTCTTTTGCAGTAGCCTCGTTCTGGTATGTGTCAAATAAGCATCATCAGCCAAACCATTCAAGATGTGACATTTGCACATTATAATCGCATATTCGTTCCCATTTTTGCCTTTCTTCTCGTTTGCAGCCAACAGATTCATTTCTCCTTCATCTTGGTCTAGGTGTTGTCAAAACATAGACAACTTTCAAAGTTGATAATAGGAAAGTATCTTCTGTCTGCCATCTTGGAAAGATTATTGCCATCAAACGTCGATCTAATTTTACAAAGTGCAGAAGCCAATTCTCTTAGTGTTCCGCTATGCAGCAGCCATTTGTTGGAACGAGATTAAAACCTTAAGCATTGTTAAGAAACACTAACTGAAAACTTAGAAATTGGCCTCAAGGGAGTGTATCAATGCCACTGTCCTTAAGTTTTATTCGCCCCTACTTGTAGTGTACCAAAAGAATTACCGGCGTATAAACCTCGAAGATACAATGAAAGCACCAGTGAATTGATGGCGTTTTGCACTGACGAAATCAATCCACTGAGCACTCACACCGGAGTATACAAGATTATCAAACTTCTATAATATTTTTTCTGCAGGAAAATAGTATAGAAGAAAACTTGGAAGATGTTTGAGGAAGAAGAATGAGAGATATTCTGTTTTTCTCTTCTTTTTCATTGGATAAGAGGGTCATCTTTTATAGGCTCATAGATGCCTGTTCTCAACAGACACCTATTTGTGTCTGGTTCAAAGAGTTGCTTCTGTGGTGTTTCCAACAGACTGGACTCTTTTCTTATTTTATAGTGTCATTGATATTAATTTTCAACAGACACAACCCTTCTTTTAATTTCAACAGTCACAACTTTCCTTCTATTTCGATATAAAATCATATTTTTATTTGAAAATGTCCAACAGAATCTTTAGCTGTATTGTTCTTCCATGAAAGTTCCAGGTTGAAAAAGCTATATCCGTTGTTTCATCTCTTTGGGGATCTCTGTCTTACTTCTATGGAGTGCTCCAAGAAAACAAGAAGAAAAATCAGGCTTCGGAAAAAGAAATGGCCTAGTATGTACTTCATTGCATGCAAATGAAAGTAATTGTCACCTAAAGCACAGCGATCGATCCAGCCAATTTACACATGTTTCCCACAGGCCTAAGCACAAAACTTGCATAACCAGCTGTTATTTTAACATAAGCAATGCTAAAAGTCAAATTCCACTCCTAGTAGATTTTGTGTGTTAAAAGTTGTTACTAAGAGATATCTTAATTTAAGCACCATGAGCTCTTGCTATCATTCTTCTTCTTATAATAACAGTTTTTCCACTTATTATTGTTCAATTCAGATAAGATTCATATAGAATTTGCCAATGAAGAACAGCCAGCTAGCATATTGGCCCAGATAGAAAGTTAATTGGGACAGATAGTGACTGTTGATCAAATACTTATAAGTTATATGCCATAGACTAACTAGCATCTGCAAGCATTCCAACGCCATGTGCAGATCATCTTACACCACTTAAATTGATAAAGGTAATGATTCTTTTAACTGTCTTGTCTACCTACCTAAACTAGGAACCTTTCCTTTTTTTTTCTTTCTTCTGATTTTGGAAGTTATGCTAATTAAAATGATTGTTCGTCTATTAGTATGGATTTGATATAGTAATTGCTTATATTAGGTAAAGATTTATGAAAAACAGATATTTCATGTAAAAACATTAAGAATTCGAAAATTCAAGTAAAAGATTTGAGTTTGAATTTGTGATAAGGGGATGTAATAGGAAAAATGGATAGAATGAGAAAAAATTATTTCTTATTATGTAATTTAATTTTTTTTGCTCAGTTATATAATTCAAAAGTAAGTGTATCAAAAAAAAGTTGTAATGTAAAATATATTCAAACGTCACATATAAGATGTCACACCACTAAAATTAAAGTTCTGATGATTCTTCGGAAAGATTTTTATATCGCATAAGATCTCCATTTTGATTCTATCTTTGGCTTAAAAGGATTAAAAGTGAATGCATAGGAACAATTTGAAGAGGTTTGGATCGAGCTCTCTTACCTTCCATCCTCTTTTTTCTTTGTTTGATTCAACATTCCTCCCTATGGATTTTCCCAAAAGGAAAAAAAAATTCAAAACCTATGTGGAAGAATAGAAATTAATTGAAGTAAACAAAACTTTTCTCTCAATCCAAACACCCCAATAATAGAGCATCAATCCCCCACCACTAATTGATACTGTTAGACAAAAGGGATTCTTCCTACAACGTGTTGGCGCCTTGCTATATGATTCTCCATTTATTCTCAGCTGCTTTCTCTTCACTATCTTTATTTCCATCTATATATACAATCCCAGAGTTTATAATGAGGTAGTCAACTTAAACTCATAAGGCAGAAGAAGAAAAGATGCCTGTGAGACGCGATGCCCTCCGACCGGGTGATCACATCTATTCTGATCGCTGTGCTTCTATCTACTTTCACCATGGTATACTCTTTTATTCATTAATTTAATTGGTTTCTTTTTCTCAGTTTCCGTTTCTTTTTTGTTCAATCGGGGTAGGGAAGAGCAACCGAGTAGAGTGATGGAACTTGAATATTTGGACACCTCCTGTCATTAATAATTTATACATTGGAATATTTGATTCAGTAATTGATGCATAACTTTCTGTTTTAAAATTTAGATTTGAATCTTCTTTTGTTTAATAATAATAATAGTTTATAATCCAATATCAAGAATGTATAATTAATTTTTTGGGGTAAGCATTGGTTTTTTAAAATTTGTGTAAGCATAGAGTAGAATCTAATTCAGAGTTTATAGCCCCCAAACTGTCTTCCTTCCTGGTAAATTTCTAACGATATGTTTCCCTGCTTTCATGCAAGGCATATATGTGGGGAAAGGAGCTGTGACCAAGTCGGATGATGAAAAAGAAGAGATAGACGATGCGGTTATTCACTTCATGGGAGTAGGCAAATCCAGCAGTCGAAGTGCATGCAAAAGATGTGGGCACAGCTCTCGAAGAATTGGGGTTGTAATAACCTGCCTTGACTGCTTCCTCGAAGGCCACTCACTCTATGTTTATGAATATGACGTCCCTTACTTGAAGTTGCGTTTCAAAAGGAGTGGAACTTGCAGCGTTAACCCTAGCAGGCCGGCAAATGAGGTTGTCGACACAGCATTTGACATCCTCCAAAACCAATCCTTCGGTAAAAAGTACAATTTTTTCTTCAACAATTGCGAGGACTTTGCAACGCGGTGCAAGACAGGTGAGGCGATGAGCAATCAGTTTGCTGGCTTGTTCTTTGGGTTTAGTTTGCCTGGTGTTGTGGGTTATAGGGCTGCAAAAGGGGTCTACGAGGCTATCACTGAGGACTAAAGGAATACTTCAAGAGGAAAGCTCAAGAAAGCGAAGGAAAGGACCCAGGCTATCTTAGACTTTTCAATATCCATCAATAAATTGTCACTTGGCTTCGGCTGGGGGTTCTGACTTTGTAGTTTCATCCTGTCTTTAGTACTATAAAAATGAAAATAAATAAATATCCATTATCTAAATCATTAAGCAAGTACATTTTAATTTCCTTTAAATTGTCAACCCACTTTTGATTCTTGATTTAAAAGGTTTGAATCTATACATCGTCATTCGTAAATAACAAGTAAAATTAAAATTTGAATTAGTAATTAAAAAGACATTTTTCAAGATAGTAGACTCAAGTCGACATTTTTTGTATTTTTTTCAATAGATGACAAATGATATTTTTTTTTCAAAGAAACAACTTAAGTTTTAACATACTATATACATTATATATTTGTTTCAAATTATGTGACAAATTTTTTTTGAGGAAATTAATATGAGACAAATTGTAAGTTGACATCAATGATTGCAGATCAGTAAGCTTAATTCTTTAATTGTTTAAGGGTTTTGTTTAGTACATGATTTCCCTACTTAAAAGAGTATGGGTTTAAATCCTACTTTCCTAAAAAAAAAAGAAAGAAAGTAAATCTAACTTATTCTTAGGATGTTAATGATTTAGCGAATAAACTTGTAAAAGTCGGTATTAATGTTTAATTAGCCTCTTGTTGTGAATTGAATAGCTATGTTTTGGGATGCTCTTGACATGTACTACTTGTAGTGAGTTTTTTAATAAGTGACTTTGCTTCTGCAAAAACCAAGCTTAATTGTGCCATTATATTTGCTTTGCCATTTTAATTGCTCTTGACGGCTTATTAGATTATTGGATGTGTGAGGTCTTTAAGCCTCTTCAGAATCTTCGTAAACCTTGGTTTTTTGACGAACTATATACATATCTAGCCTTAGCAAGATCATGAATTGCACTTGGTAAATTCTGATTATTATAAGGGAAAGTTAAAATCCTGGATTTCAGATTGTAATTAATCACAGCTCAAATCAAATATAATTTACATAGCATCATAACATCGGATGCTTTTTTCCCTGGGTGTTCAATCGTTTCAGAGCATATTAATTCAATAAAATATTATAAACAATGACCCTACCAGGAATAATAACTGTTAATTAAAACCAAAATTCGGATTATGTAGAAAAGAAACAACCAATTTTCTACTTTAACCAGAAGCTCATATACTTGCGTATTTGTTTATCATATGCAAACATTTCGTCACGCTTCATGCGTCACACCACCAGCTAATTAATATTCAGTCAAATTGATTCTTGATTGCTTTGTCTTCAGAATTTATTATTGCTTTATATGCTTCTCCAATCTTTTCTTGGATTCTCTATGAATTCTCACAAAAGAAAAAAACAAAAACAAAAAAAATTCCAAGTGGGAATTTTGAAGGAAAAAAAATCTCTTTGCTCCACTTGTTTCTCATCCAAATGCAATGATGCTGTACTCCACAATCATTGATTAAGTAATAGGATTATTATTAAATATATTGATCGTAATTTTTTTTTTCAATTGTCTAAACCCACATGTGAAGTTATAACGCAACTGCTGTGTATTAAATAATTGAATTAATGTTTGATAAGAGATTTCTTTTGATATAATGCTTTAAAAATTTTTTAAACTATTTAAGAATATTTAAATAAATTTTTATTTTTCTATCTTATTTAATTAAACTTATATAATTTTATTTTGAATCAAATAAGTGTTTATAACTAACGTAGCGTTACTTGTCATTTATGTCATATAGCGCTGATATCGCATTGACATGAAAATTAAAAATACCACATGGATTTTTTTAACTATTATGCTATTTTTTATTAAGTAAGGAGAATTCAAATTTAATTATTTGAGTATACAAGCACCAATTATTAGATTAAATACTTGAGTGCTCGACAAAAGGATTTTCCTTATTAACCTTGTAGAACTTTTTTTTTTCTTTGTTTCCATAAACAAGAATCTGATTAGAAGATTGCTACGTCGTTCAGTTTTACATTTCTTATTATCAATATATATTCTCCATTTTAAGCATTGGATTCTCCTGTTTTAACTGTCTGGCTTGCATCAGCCTTTTCATCTATATATTTGCAGTATTCATACGATGTTGAGACAACTTAGAGAAAAAAGAACTGAAGAAGGAAGATGAAAACTGTTAGACGAGACGCGCTTCAACCGGCGGATCACATCTATACTGATTGTAGTTGGAGACTATACTATCACCATGGTATGTATGTGTATTTTCTCTTTTCTATTTTTGTTCTATTGGGACCTTGAATATTATTATGCAACTCCCAAATTTGACTAATTAGTCTTCAAATCCAACAAGTATTTAAAGAGGAGTAAGGATCTATGTTAATCTAACTTAGAGTTTTGGGAAACTATAATTTAAGTCCACCGTGTCCTCCATTTCTTCACGTTTTCCCTTCCTTTCTCAATTTTCTTGCTTTGACGCCAGGCATATATGTGGGCAAAGGCAAGGTCACTAACCCCAAAAATGGAGAACAAAGAGAAATAGATGATGCAGTAATTCATTTATTTGGACCTACCAAGAACAGTTCAAAAGCTCAATGCCAACAATGTTTTCACCTGCCTCAAAATGCTGGGGTTTCTATAACCTGCCTTGACTGCTTCCTTGGAGGTCACTCCCTCTATGTCTATAAATACGATGTCTCCTACTGGAAGTTGCGGTTTAAGAGGAGTGGAACTTGCAGTGTTTGGTCTTCCAAGCCAGCGGATGAGGTTATTCAGACAGCATTTACTCTCCTGGAGGAAAACTCCTTCGGAAACTACCACTTTTTGTTTAACAACTGCGAGGACTTCGCAACCTACTGCAAAACAGGTCAGGCCACGAGCAATCAGGCAGCTGGGGTCTTATTTGGATTTGGCTTGCCTGGTGTTGTCGGTTACAATGCTGTAAAAGAATTGTACTTCAGGAATTGAGAAAGAATAAAAACTGATGAAAGTGGTCTTATTTTGTTGGTACTCAACTTAATGGAAAGGCTTTATTTTAGGCTTTGGAATGTCAACAACTAAGTGGTAAATTGGCTTGGCTTCGGTGGAAGGGTGGGGTGAGGATAATGTTGGTAAAGGCCCAGGATGTGAAGTTTACTGCTCTCTTTATCTTGTACCAAAAAAAGAAAAAAAGAAATCACTAAATAAATGGTAGTTCTTATTTGAAGCACTGAGATTCAAGCCTTGTTCTCTTTGGTTTTTTTTTCTTCACTCAATCAACAGTCAATTTTATTGCGTATCAAGGTTGAAACATGAACTGGTCCTTGGCTAAAAAGCCAGACCACGAAAACAGAGAAATAGCAACTTCCCCACTTACGGGGCTGTTTTCTCATTCACAGCCCGGACCAAAACACCTTTTTCTCTTGTTTTGATCATTCGTTTGGCTCAAAATCACGAGGGAAGCTGGCCTCACAAGTTTTAAGTACTTGAGTCTAACTGTGTTAAGTTATGGCTATTAAAAATGCCGTTCATTTTTATGCTTCTTTTTTATGGAAAGGTATAAAATCTTTGGTGCATGAATTGGATTCTCTTCTTGCTGTATCTTAGATATATATCTAAATCGGATGACAGATCATGAGCTTTGTGAAAAGTGTTAGATTTTCCAGTAAAATCCTTATGTGGACTTACATTATTTATTTTTGTATTTTGTCAAAATTAGGCTAAGATAATTTGATCTTGATAGAGTGACAATATTGTAGTCCATAATATGATTTAATAAAGTGGGATAGACTCTAATGTCATATGTGGGTTTAAAAGTGTAGGCTTGGGTAGGAAACCCTAAATCCTATGATGGGTGGGACTAAGGATTCATTATATAAAAGTAAGACTATATCCCCTCTCTTGTCTACAACCACATAAAGATCTCATCCATTGGAGAGTCATAAAGAAAAAAAGAGGAAGATCCTAGTTCATTGAGTATCAGCAGTTACTCTTGTCAGTATTAAGGTTCGCTCTAAATTCCTATTATGTTAGATCTTGGATTAGTATAAATTATTTATACATAATGTTTTGTAAAATGTTTTTTTTTTGAAATTAACAAGTTGCAAAAGGTTATTGGAGAAGGCATTTCCAGGCAGTTCTACAGATGAGCCAACTACTTCGTCGACTCTTTTGCAAAAATGGGGATGAACAGGTCCCATATATTCAGTACTTACCGGGGAAAGGATCATGGGCTGCTACGGTCTTTCTGCGAATGATTCTTCAAATAAATTATTCTTTGCTTCATGCAATATTACGAGCTTCATTGTTCTTTATCCTTCTCTGATTCTAGGCATTTTTTTGTTGCTTATATTTACCTTTTCAGTTCAGCAACTTGGACTGTTGAAGTTTTGTACGCTACTTTCATTCAATAAAATGCACTTGTTTCCAAAAAAAAGAAAAAATTCTACAGTTGGGATTTTGAGTGTGGCGATGTGCTAACAGAATCCATAAGTTTTTTTTTTTTAAATGTATCTGTTGAATATATAAGACGAGACAATCACTAAAAATCAATACATCAATGTAAAATTAATATATCAATGTAAAATTAATTGTGATTTTCTGAATTTGATTAAAGTTTTCCTACAATTAACATTTTCAATTTCGTGAATTTGCTTAAAAATTCTCACAAGCTGCTGCTGCTGGCTATAATTAAGTTTTGACATATGATTTTGAACAATGAATTGGTCAGCTATGGGGTTCTAACTGGAGTTACCTGCAGAATATGAAAGCTTAGGCGTACATTTTATGCGATAAAAGCACTCCTTCGTCCAATTGTTTGCTTTAATAATTTTTCGATAAAGATGGGTCCATGGTGGCTATCATTTTCCGATATCTTTCAGAATAAATTGCCAACAACAACAGGCCAATGGACCAGATAAGAGAATTGAGACTTACGTGACTGTGGATCGATGCCAAACGACTGCAGCCTTGCAAGTTGTGCTACAATTATTAGCATCTGCAAGAATTCAAAACCGCCAGATCACGTAACGCCATCCATATAGATAAGGTACTGATCCTTTAGTTTATATATTGTCCTGCTAAAGCTAGGAACCTTTTTTATTTTAATTCACTATGAGTCTAGCTTTGATTCCTTGAACTTAGATAAAATGTCACTTTAATCCTAATTATGTTTAATATAAGATTTAAGTCCTTATACTTTTATGCTCATGTAGCGCTGAAGTGACATTAATGTGAAAGATAAAAAATATTACATGACCATATCATCATTTATTATGACATGTCAACATATTACGTCAGCACCACGTAGAATAGAAATGACAAGTGGTATTTTGATTAAGTTAATCATTAGTTATAAGAGTCTATATATTTGGCTTAAAATAAAAATATAAAAATTTATTTAATTTAAAATAAGAATACAGAGATTTGATTAAACACAAGAATAGAATAAGAGTTTATTTAAATTTTTTTGAATAATTTAAAATTTTTCTAAAATATTATGCCAGTATTCTTTTTATTCCAATGAATTATGTGAAATAATTAATTCTATGAAAAAAAAAGCTGTGAATATGTTTTAATTAATATGACGTATCTGTCAAGTCAAATGATAAAAATTTTGCCATTGTGATTTTTATGTAAAAAAAATTAAACAGCAATTGATAAATTCTATTTTTTCTTCTCTTCCTCTTTCCTCTACCTAATAGGTAAGAGCTCTTATGTATAACTACATTTTATTTGACCAAAAAAAAATACGCCAAACCTTTAATTAAAAAAGAAAAAAAAAACAGAACGGGGAGGAAATTATGCCAATTTAAGGTATGACTATATATATGTAAGCACTCATACGACACCAATATTACGTCACAGGCTCAGCATATAGTAATACTAAGCCAAGTGATTCTTCAATATGGGTTTGGCTTTGGATAAGAATATTTTCTTCTTACTTAAGTAAATTGATTTCCAGCTTTAATTCTCTATGCTATTCTAAATTAAGTAGACAATTGGACTTGAAGATGCGTGGGGATACGGGTGGCAACAGAAAGGCAGCCATCTGATAACATTAAGCTTAGGTCGATATTAAATCACATGCTCAAGCAACCCACTTGTATTTAATCTGTCATAAACATTTTAAAATAAAAAATAAATAAATTTGGAAATTCATAGGCCAATCAAAAAAAAAATACAATGAAAAATTACATGTTCTATTTTTTTGGTATGTGAGAAAAATGGTATAATGGGTTTAAGTAATAATTCTAGTGGAAATTATTGAAAATGTAATCATTATCATACAAAATAAATAAATTCAATGTGGATGGCCTTATACAAAATAAACTAGATAATATTTCCCATTAAACATTAGCCAAAGTGATTCTACACAAGATGTATTGGCCTGTATTTTCCTTTTCTTTTTCTAAGCCAAAGCATACTTCTGTAAGAAGCTAGACAATTAAACGAAATGCATATTCCTCTTATTGAAACGGTATAGATTCCTTTTTTTTTTTAAGTAAAAAAGTATAGATAATCAGAATATGGTAACCATATTTACTTTATATTTTTGATATTCTTATTCGTTCTTAGCTTTGGATTCTCTGTCCTGATTTTTGGGTTCCCAAAAATCATTCTTCCACCTATAAATTGCTGATATTTTCTTTTGCAAAGTAGACAACTCGAGCTCAATAGTTCAAAAGAAGAAATTTAAATGAGGACTACACTTATAGCAAGTTTACTTCTCTACTGATCTCATCTTGGTATTCTCTCTCCCCCTTTCTCTCTCACACACA